ACAAGTAAGGGATGGCAGGAAAAGTAGAGAAATCAGGAAAATTCAGACCTGTTCCAGTGTCTCACAGAAGAGGTTCATGGAATCTGAGTCACTGTGGGTCAATACCCAGTTTTTCTGGCCCTCAACTCTCATGATGGAGCACCCTACATTTACCACTCCAGGGAAGGTGTGATCAGTGATCATTAGCCAAGACTCAATATCACCAATAGCAATACCGTCACTTTGCACGCTCCCCCATCTCTCCCAGGGCTTTGTCTGCAACCATCTGATCAGGAGGTATGCTGATCATGTTCCCAGCAAAGACTCCATCACATCGCTCAACAGTCAACACCATGGGCCAAGTCCTTCAGCCAGGAAGTCCTTCTCAAGGTCTCGTGAGAGGGTCTGCTGCCGCCATGCACATTTATTTCTTTTCCTTGGTACTTCTGTGCAGAGGGAGAAGAGCTGCTTGCTCTTGACCCCACACAACCTTTCTTATGCCTTCTGTTTCTTTCCTGGATTCCAAATCCCCAGCTGGCATGTTGGCAAGTCTTCTAAATGCGCATCTGTTGCGCACTCATTTGGGTGACTTCCACCCAACCATCTTCATGCACTGTCCCCATTGCAATGAACGGCTGGAAACTGTCCCAGTGTCCTAACCAAATGGCCTGGGGATGGATGGGCCTCTTGGAAAGAGGAGCCAGGATGCCAAGCAATGCCAAATGCAGGCAAATCCCAAGCTGCTTGGGGTTCATCAGTCTATCTGCAACCATTTTTTCTGCTGTGGACTCTCCCATCCTCTTTTCTCATGAGACTTGGCTCACTGTAGGTTGTCCCCACATTGTGCCCCTGAAAGGACTCAGAGAAAGCAAGTGCTTTTTTTTGTTTTTCATTTTTTTATATAGTTGAAATAACAAGAAAACGCAGACAGAAGGCTGCTGCAGATTGCAGATACATAAACAAGCTCGGTGCGTGACTGGTCCCTACATGGTGCTACCCCCAGGTTTCTGGTCCAGGCAGTGTTCATGACCTGCCACACAGCGCTTCCTGGGCACAAGACAGGGCACTCAGGGGAGCACCATCCCCCGGCTGACTTCAGGCCTCAATTTCCTCTTGAAACTAATCCTCCCCCAAGGGTAAATTGGGGGAGGGTGGTTAGCAGAGCAACCCCATCATCCCATTGGCCCCAGGAAACTGGGCAGAGTTGGTGTGGCCAGAGCAAAAGGGCCCACTTAGGAATGACTGACTTCGTAGCCCGGCTTAGCCAACTCAGTGCAGTCTTACCTCATTATTGAGTGCTGAAAGTATGTAAGGCTCTAGATATAGAGACAGCTCAGCTCCCGTCTTAGTGATGGACAGCTGGCTGAGGGCACAGGAAGGTGCATAGGGAAGAGCGTGAAGGTGTGTTCCTGGATGGAAGGATCCAGTGGGGAGTTGCTGATGTGCTCATAGGGACAGTGGTGTCCATAAGAGCTGGTTCTAAGCTCTGGCTTCGCCAGGATGAAGGGGTCTTGAAGGATGACTGGGCCAGAGCATCCCATCAGAGCCACACCCAGCAGATGCACCTTTCAGTGGGCAGTTTGCTGGGTCCTCTCCATCTGAGGCTCCTGCACAACAGGTGTGGGCAGGTAGTGCATAGGCCAGCTACTTGGAACTTTCCTTGTGGTACAGTCATGCAGAGGATGCTGACTATCTTTGATCCCTCCCCAGAGGACGTATGGAGATGGCTGCCCCAGGAGGGTGAATCACAGTTCTGGGGATGAGGCCCACAGTAGGGTGCTTCCACTGACAGGAGGCACAGACATGGGCAGAAGCCACCATGAGCCATGGATGAAGGTAACATCCTAGAAGGGCAGAGCAGTGAGGAGGGCAGAACCTGGCCCAACACTACTGAGCTACAAATGCCATCTCTAAATAGCCACCCAGGCTGGGGGCCAGAGAGAAATAAACTATTTTGTTCATGGGACCTTTCTGTTGTATCTAAATACCTCAGTCCCTGATGTCTAAAACCCAGGCCTTTCATCACTGAAACAAGGAGATTCTGATGCAGAAGATCTCATTTAAATTCACGGCACCAAATCTTCCTCCCTCCACAGGCAAGATGGTACAGCACGCGGGTCCAAAATTTGACCTCCCTTCAGGAGGAATGGTTCTGCCTACCTCCCTGTGGACCTGCCCTGTTTCTGACCTCTGAGCTATCCTGTGGACACTTGCATCCACTACCCTGTGTTGGGCATTTCTTTACATCTGGTTCTTGTCCTTCTAACTAAGGGTGAGGCCCTGGAAGGCAGGGCCATGGCGTCAGGCCCCTCAGGGATTCATGTCAGTCCCCAGCTACCTGATGGCTCTCTAGGAAATCCTGCCCATAAATGCCTTGAACTCTTTGGCCTTCAGAGGCAACCTTGGCTTTAAGCAGCTTCCCATAACACAGAGTGTGCCAAGGCCAGACACAGCAGGCCGCATGCTGCAGGCCTTCCCCACACTCTTAACAGGCTACTGCAGACCAACAGGGCACAGACCATGTGGCTGCACAACAGGTACCCTGCTCCTCCTCCCTCTGAGATGATCAGATAGTACCATTGGTCAGTGATGGTGGGAATGCCAGTGGCCCTAAGGCCTATGGGAGCCCCCTTCCCCCTTAAGCAGCCTGGTCTCTGGACATATCAGGGAAGCAGTTAATGTTTTGACTCCCATCTCCTCCTGCCTGGGCTATTCCCTTGTTATAAACCCAAGGCTCAATTCCACAGGCCTCAAAGGACCTCCTGTGAGCACTTTACAGTTTCATCCTTAAATTCAGCTACCCTGCCCATCCCAAGCTAACTGTCCAGCTGCTTCCCAAAGGAGGGACTGAGGTCAGCTGGTCCTTGCAGTGCTAGGGGGCTCAGAGCAGAGAAGAAGCTCCACACAAACCCTGCTGGGAGGCTGCCCCCCAGCCCCAGCCCTGCTCCAGCAGCTCACATTGTCTGTCCAACTTCCCACCCACCTTCCAGATGAAGGGCAGATGGGAGAAGCCCCTAGGGACCTTGGCAGCGGTGACAGGACCAGAAGGAAAGAATGGAGAGAGGGGACCCAGAAAAGGTGATAAAGGAAAGAGAAAAAAGGACCCCACACTGGAAGATTCCAGAACTAGACATGTACCGATCAAATAATGGGTCTTAGTGACCACTCCTCCATTCCAGAATTTCACCCAGGCCTGGAACTCTCTCTGGTGCTAGATCATCCCACCCAAGCCCATCTTTGCTGTTTGAGAGTTAAGGGAATCTTCATACAGAACAATGCACAGAAACTAGCTCCTGCTGACGTGCAGGGGCTGGGTTTAGGGAGAAGGCAGACAGAACACCTCTCTGGAAGGACATGGGACATAGCAGGGCAGAAAGACCAGAGGCCTGGACTCAAGCCATACATACATCTCCATGGGCCTCAGTTTCTTTATCTGCAAATGGTGGTATAAGAAGGACCCTCCAAAAGAAAAAAAAGAACAGGAAAAATAAAAGTGAAAACAAAACAAAACAAAAAGACAGAAGGGCCCTCCAAGGCTGTCTCCTCTGCTGTCATATGAGGAAGCTGGGACCTGAGGAGGAAGGACTTGCCACTAAGCTTGTGGCAAAGCAAAAACCAGAACCTAGGGCTCCTTCCCTCCATCCAGGGATCTTATTATGACCTCCTTCCTTTTTGTGTGTGTTTCTTAATTGCAGTTCTGGTGATTGAACCCAGGGCTTTGTGCATGCTAAGCAAGTGCTCTACCACTTGAGCCACACTTCCAGCCCATAACCTCCGTCCTAAGCAACAATTAAGCACACACACAAATCCTGGCTTTTGTTTGTTTTGCTTTGTTTTCATGCTGACTGGGGATTAAACCCAGGGCTTTGCAAATGCTAAGCAAGTACTCTACCACTTGAGCTACACCCCCAGCCCATGAATTCCTTTCTAAGCAACAATTAAACACACGCACACACAAATCTTGTTTTTTGTTAGTTTTGGTTTGGTTTTGTGATGCTGGGGATAGAACCCCAGCTTTGCACATGCTAAGCAGGTGCTCTGCCACTGAGCTACATCCCCAGCCCCATGGTTTAATTGTTAAGAAACACACAGACACACACACACAGACACACACACACACACCTTGCAATGGGAGAGAACTGCCCAGGTCACCCCCATCATTGCCACCCCCAGTGATGGAGCTGCAAAGTCCAGCAGCCTAAGAAAGATCCAAACAGGAGGTCACCAAGAAGCTGCCCTCAGGACAGTGTAGAGAAGGTTGGTTTAGTCAGAACAAGGGACTGAAGTTGTACTGCCAGTGGGCAGTACATGTGTTCTGCAGCAGCTGTGGGATCAGGAGTTGTGGAGTCTGCGGCAGGGCTGGGAGTGGGGTAAGTGGTTTTCTCAGCTTCTAACCTCACATCCTCCCACAGGTGAGATAAGGTATCAGGTGAGCTGGACTACTGGAAGGTTGGGAGGTGCTGAGTTGTGTCCCTTCCCTCCTGGCCACACAGTCCACTTGGGAGCCCCTCAGGACCTCATGGGCCCGTAGCAGGCTCCAGCCTGGTCCAGGCATAGTTGGTACACTGGGAAGATGGATGGACTTCTGAGCAACTCCCACAAGCTCTCCCACCCTGGCCCTCTGCAGACCTGGAGGGAGGTGATCTCCAAAGCATCCCAAATAGCATCAAAATCCTGAAAGTCCCAGTGTTTATGGGGCCCATCAGTGTCAGTACATGAACCCCCAGTTTGGTCTCCTAGCTTTCTGCATAATAGCCCACCGTGAATGTTACAGAGAGCCTCTCCAGTCTTTTCTGGTGGATAGCTGGATTGTCTCCAGATGTTTATTACATATAAGGCTGCTACCCAAAAGAAATCTCAAGAATTGATGTGTTGGGGGAGAGAATCAAGGATTTTCCAAAGACACAGCCTTCTCCCTGCCATATCCCCACCGCTCAGAAGCCACTTAGGGCTAGCCTAGGGACACAGGCAAGCAAGACCCATGACTGCCCCTCAGATGAAGCATGGAGCTGTTCCCCTACCTGCTGCGGGGGGATACGCCCTCGGGAGAAGGAGCAGCTGCTGTCTAGCTGTTCACTGCAGTCCGCTGTCCACTGTAGGGCAGAAAGGAGGGGTCAGTGATGCAGGACAAACATGCTTACCCTCGCTCTGCCCATCCCCCAGATATCCCCTCTCTCCTGCAACAGGGCCAGTAGGAAAATCTCATGAGGCATTTTCAATGGCAAATCCACCACCATCAGCAGGTCTAAGGTGGCCTCTTCAAATGCCACATCAAGGTGACCCCTCACTATATGCCTGGGGAAAGCAAATTCATTTCCCAGTACCTAAGCCCACCAAAGCCATAAAAATCCAGCTATTTTCCAAAGTCAGCCAGATATGACACCCAGTTCTTCTGAGCTTTGGACAATCAACACCACATTTGACCACCTGATCTGGCTCCAGTTACACTTGTCCTCCACCATGTCGAGGGGTATGGCAGGAGCTGAAGGAGAGGCCAACATGTGTGGCTCTGTCTGTATGTCCAGCTCCAGAAAATGATGGATATGGCATCTGGAAGAGCCCCGGACTGGCTATCAGGTGCCAGACTTGTGCCCGGAGAGCCAGAAGAGCTGATGTGCTCCAAAGTGTGGTCTGACAAGTACCACCTGGGAGTCTCCAAAGTCTCTGCTATGGAGGACCCTGAGTCTCATTCTCCAATCAGTGACCAGACTCTGCTAGGCTGGGGCCTGAGGACCAACTCTCCCAGAAATGCACCAGAAATTCGAGAGCCACTGAAACCCATGCAATCTCCCAGGCTTCATTCTGTCATCTATATTACTGGAATGGCAGTGCTGGGCAGCTCTGCAAGGTTGAGGTGAAGGAAGGCCCTTGCAGATATAACATAGAGGGGGAGGATGTGAGCTGCTAGCCAGCTGCATGGCGGAGTTTCTCCTACCCTGTGAAATGTTAGCTAGCCTCTCTAATGCTATGAAAATTTGCCCTTAACCTACACTCCTTGTGGCACATAAAGTGCAGAGGGATCTCAGGTTCTGTGTCTGACACCCCTGGTCAAAACTGTGAGTATGGATGACTCTATGCCAATATTGTCCGGGTTTTTTAAAACCTTGGCTGGGCACATCCTCCTGACAGTGGGTCAAGGGCACAACCTTAGTATGGGAAAGACACTTGATGCTGATGCTATAGACTGGGTTCAAGTGTGCTCTGAGGCTGTGAGGGCCAACAAAATGAAATGAGAGCCATCAACAGGAGCCATAGACCTCACTTCATGTTTCCTAGCACCGGATTTTTAAAAGGAGGCAAGCCAAGTTAAATAACATACCATACTTAATCCAATATATTAAAATATATCACCTTAATAAGTAATAAAAATTATTTTTCATTCTTCTTTCTATAACAAGGTTTTGAAACCTACCCATAATACATTTTAGATGGGACGATTCCCATTTAAACTGCTCAAGAGCCACACATGGCCAGTGGCTCCTGTATTGGACAGTACAGCTCTCTAGAAAAATGGTTAATGTGTCAGGTCTACTGGGCCAGCCTTTCCAGGCTCCTGGTCACATCTCCCTCTCCTCTCTCTCTCTCTCTCTCCTTTCCTCTTTCAAGAAGCTTTACCACTAGCAATTGGGCCTTCACCAGATATGCTTTTGCACCCAGCTGTGACAACACCACCTCCTCCCTTGGGCCTCACATTAAGATGTAGTAATAGCTACCTGCAGATGCTAATTTCTGGTATTTTACCTTCTTAGCCCTTTTATCATCTGGGCAACAAATCCCCTGGATTAAATTCCCTCTGTGTGGATAATTGCAGTCTCAAAGTATCTCTTCCAAAACATTTCTTAATTGAAAAAATGAGAAACCCATCAGCCACCACTTTAAGCAAGTGAGCGAGGTTACATTATCAGTAGTAAAATGGATCACATCATAGGCTCCTAATACTGTGTGTACTTTTAAGGTGTTTTTGTCCCAGGTGCACAACCTCAATGTAGTCGGGAGAGACATCAGACAGCCCAAATCAACGAACTTGCTCCAAACTCAGGGAGCGGTGCTCACCAACAATGTCAAGGTGGTGCACAGAGTGGAGAATAATAAGGTGTGATAGTTACATGCAAATCTGGATCTCAGAGCAGAGAAAGGACAGTAGTGAGAAACTGGTGAACTCTGACTAAATTCTCTAGTGAATAGCATTGTACTGCTGCCAATGTCTCTGTTCTGATCATCGCATCGTGGTCATGTAAGATGCCCATATTAGAGGAAGCTGGGTCGCAGGGAACACTCAGAACTATTTCTGTACCTTGCATATAGGTCTAAAATAATTTCAAAACAAAAAGTAATACATATGTATACATATATAATATGTGTACACACATATGCACATATGAATACATATTTTGGGGTGATCTATACATGTGTACATCAATGTATACCTGTGTGTATGTACACAGTGTTTAAGCTACTTTCAAAGCAAGTCCTCTGCTTTATATATCTGCATGGTTTCTTGTCTCCTAGGTGGAGCTTGGCTGACAAAGTGGGGACAGCCAAGGAATGGGGTGACTACCACTGGTCCCATGCTAGAATGGCCTCTTAGAAAAAGCTTCTCCCTTCCTGGTGTCCCAGACACTTCAACCCTTGCTGATGAGGCATCCCATAGAGCGGTGACTTGGGGGTGGGCACAGCAACTCTTGGGGTCAGCCTGGCCCCTAAAAGGGTAGGACAAGCAACAAGTCTACATAGAGAGGAGACTCCATGGAGTCTGTACACAACCTCACCCTCCTTGGGGAGCTGTCACAAAGCAGCTCCAAGCTTTGTCAACTTAACTTTACATTTGCCAACTAAAAGTCATTTCCAGAACCCCCTCTATGTGGCACTCCAACAAAGGAGAGGTGAGGCACCTTCACCAGCAGCAGGAAAAGCTGAGGATGTGTGGTGGCCATAAGGAAGGCCGTGGTCTCCACAGGAGCCCTGAGGGGAGGGACAACATAGAGGCCTATACAGAGAAGAGAAAACTGTATGGGTAAACAGGGGCAGGGGGACATTGGGCAGCTTAGGAACAGACTGAGGTTGTCAGGTCAAAGAAATTAGAGAAATCTCTATGGACAGGAGTGCCTCTTTGCAGCAGTTAGGGTCGTACAACTGGCCTGGTGGGGATTAGTGATTGAGATACAGGGAAGGAAAGAAAGGGATCTAGAGTATAAACCGTACAAGCAGCAGCCAAAAGGACCATCTGTGAACGGGAAGTGGAGCATCATGATGGAGCACCCAGAACCATGGTCCCCAGCAAGAGCAGGGACTCTAGTCCTGGCTGGGCAGCCTTCCTGACACCAGAGAAGCCATTAACCACTGGACTTGTGGAGCTCCTACCATGCAGTAGCCCCAGGACATCCTCTCCAGGGCAGCTGCCTGAGTCACCCCCCAGGGACACATTTTTGCCCTGGTCCTCAGGGCCCTCAGAGAGCTCCCCAGCACCATTCTAACCCAATCCCACCTCTGCAAGGATTCTTCTCTCAGTGTCTTTCTTCTTGCCCTCCAGCCTCCACCTCCTGCCTCTCTTTGCCCGTACCTCCTCCCTCAGAGGAGACAGACCTCCCCAAACCCATCCTGATCTGTGTAAGATGGTTATAGAGTTGGGCAGGGCTGCCTTCTCTCCAAACACAAGTACATTAAACCTCACACAAAGAAATTTCTCCTTCAGGACAAACGGGCCTGCAATTTGGAGCCTCCTGACCACACAGATCCTCTAGGGTTACAGGTGGTGTCCTAGTTGAAAAAGCCATCAGAGGAAGAGACAGGAGACAAGGAAACTTTTTAATATGGGGCCCATGGAATTTACTACAGTAGTTTCAGGGCTTGAACCATGGCTGTTATAATTTATACTTTAATTGAAAACTCTGGAAGAAATCGGACACAGGGTTAAGATTTGATAAACATGAGAGTACAGATGTCTATTCTGTATTCAAAATGGATGTATATTCTATTATTCTCTGCTCTTTTCTGTACATTTTAAATATTTCACAATGAAAACAATTTAAACCAGTTAATCATTTGCATCTCAGGATGGGTGGCACTTTTTGAGTGGATGTTGGGAAGACTGGAGGAGACCCCTAAGGCCGCAGAGTACTGAAGAAAGAGTGAGAAAGACAAGGCTCAGAGTGGGGGAGGCCAACAGTGCTAAAGACAACAGGGCCCATTTTCCACAGTGTCTAAAATCCTCTCAGGGTCTGGCTCTACGAGATATCAAAGACCAAACCAGTTGAATCAGTACAAGGAGAGAAAAACAGATCAACTGATTAAAATGCACCATAAGTAGATTAATGTATAGATGGGAACTTAGTGTAGGATAAGAATAGAGTTTGAAATCATGAGGAAGGGAAGGAGAAACTCATCAGTAACCACGTGACTGGCCATTAAAGAAAGAATCACTCTAGATGTCTGCTTCACACTGTGCCCGGAAAACACATTCTGAGTTGATCAACACTCAAGACACATCAACATTAAAACTTCCATGCATACAACAAAAGAAATTGTTAACAAGAGAACACAAACGAAGGGTACTTGCAACATGTATAGCCAAGAACTAGTCACCAGACTATATCAAGGTTTCATTTAAACTGGGTCCTACTCTAAACCTGTCACACTGGTTAATGCTCTCTCCCCCAGGGCCTTATAGGTGTTCTTACTTTGCCCACTTGGCAAACATGGAGACCAAGGCACATCATGTTTATGTGACTTGTGCAAGGTTACACAACCAAACAGTGGCAGATGAGCAAAGGACATATTAAAGAGCCAGGAAAAATGACAGATACCAAATGCAAGGAATGGTTTGGATTCCTCCAAAATCCTAACCAGAATTTTGCTATTGTTATGGTTTGGATACGAATTATCCCCCAAAGGCTGATGTGTTGAAGGCATGGTCCCCAGCTGGTGGATCCTATCATTGACAGCTGATTGGCTCATGAGGACTCTGAGCTAATCAATGGATTAACCCTCTGAAGGATTCATAATATGAGGGAGGTGGGATCTAGCTGGAGAAATTCTCTAAAAGGATACACCTGTCTTCAGCCCCTTCCTGTCTTTCTCTGTCTCTTTGCTTCCT